ATCTGAAAATTTAAGTCGGAACAGCTTGAAACTTTCCTTATCTAATTCCCAATAGTAGTTCGAGCTGAGTTAGTATTGTTTATTAACAAAACCAAGGCTTCTTCTTGCCTCCTAAAAAAGGCAGTTAGCCCTTTGATATAAATCTATATATATAAAAAAATGCTTTGTTTCCAAAATCATAAGGAAGAGAGCCCCCCCTTTTTTTTCCTAATTCAGGATTCTTTGTTTCCATATGTAAACAGAAAAAGATGTCCTGTCTGATTTTTAGAAAGCAGGTTTGTGGAAAAGGCAGTTAGAAAAATCTCATTTGTGCCTTTATATACAGAAATTTGGAACAAAAACACTGGTGGACCAAAGAATATATTGAATGCTAAAGGTAATTGTCATGATGACTCTGACTATAGCCACAATCAAAAGATACTAAACTCTAAACTCACAGTTGAGTTGATAACTTCTTTTTCACGTCTACCCATTATATAACAAGTCATAGAGTAAATGGTCATTTCGAGCATGATTTATCAAATTCCCACATTCACAATGAGCTGGACCTACTTTCTACATTCCACTTTTAAAAAGTCACTAAAAATTCTTTGGCTCACAGAAGTAAAATTAAACATCCTGCCATGGATAATGGTAAGTGAAATTACAATCCACAATCTTGGGTATAAAGATTAGCCTCACTCCAAGGCATTTCCAAATAAAATAACTTCAAATGATAAACTTTTTCTTTAATATTCCTTATGGACAAAGAAATTCCATAACAACTTTAGGAAAAAAACAACTATACTTCCATGCAGTACTAAAATAATAAAAATATTTTTTTACACATAAAACTACAATTATTATCAAGGGTTTACTAAAGCATTAGGATTTCAGAATCTATACTGTCTAATTTAGCATACTGTACTTTTTTGGCTAAACACATAAACTCATTATAATATCAACACAATTTTTATTGCAGCAGCAGCACTCCTAAACATGTAAAAACATGTTACAGGTTATAAAACAGCAAAAGATTTTCAAGTGCAAAGTAATCTTAGATCAAAACCGGCATTAAGTTCTAATAAGCACATTCACTTACCATATGACACTAGAGATTGGACCGGTTGTTAAAAACAAAGAAGAAAGACAAAAGTAGGACACTAGAGTATAATACAGTATGTGTGTGTATATTTACACATGTATATGTGTGTATATATACATATTTTAATATATGTAATATATTACATTGTATATCTTTTAATATATAATAAAATGTATATATATATATATTTTTTGGATAGAAAATTCCAACCAAGCCTATGGGAAGCAGGAACATCTCTCTCTTTCTCTCTCAGAACTGCTTTCGTTTTGACCCAAATTTGCTGGCTTTACTTGAAATGATTTTACCTTTTTCATCACAAATTCATTTGAAGTAAAATTGTAGAATCTTAGAAATTTAGAGTATCAAAAATTATTTATCTTAAAGGGAATGGATCCTATCATTATTTAAATTTATATCCTATTTCTTTCTTTCTTTTTTTTTTTTTTTTGGTCATTCATTTGTTAAATTTCCCAAATTTAGTCTAATACCAACCAGAGATCTGCCCGGGAAACTTGCCTTAGCAGGCACATGTCCAGATCAAAAAATAGCCTATAACCTATCTTATGGAAGAAATATACACAAACATTTACACATCATACAAAATAAGGTTGAAATGGGTAGGGCCACTTGACTGACATCCATTTGTCACTTTCATTGCAAAACGTCCTGAGCAGCTTCCAATATGCTTAGACAAATTTAGATGAGTGGAAATGCTGACTAATGATGCCATTATCTATATACCAAATATATATGAAGGCCTGAAAATCCTGAGTCATTCATGTGAGCTACTAAAATGACAGGGGAGGAGAACCTAGAAAAATGATAATGAAATGTCATGAGAGGGCAAATTAATAAAAATAGCATCCAGATATGTAAAAAGACAATATACGCTTAGTTTTTGGGAAGAGATATGTCTAGTAAACAAGGCCAAGTCTTACTAATTGCAAAAAATGCACTATGTACAGGCTTTTAGCAACAAAACTATTTTAACCATCAGTAACTAAGGGTTGTTATTTTAGGAGAATGAAGTCAATACATTTGTTTTCCTAAGGCAGGCAGGGGCAGTATTGTGCTATTCATGAACTTCATTAATATTCATTAATTTTTAAAGCAGTTTGGTTAGCTTTGGCCATTATCTATGCAGATATTTTGCCTTTAAATAAAAATAATTTCAAGAACATCATTATTTAAAAACATAATTAGCATGAAATTCTAAATCTACATTTTCATTAGCAGATATTATTCACTGAAGGGTATATAGGTTTCAGATAGGTCTGTTTTAATTGAATTCCTGGGGTAAAATTCTAAAAATCATAGTGACCAAAATAACCTAAATGTAACCAAAAGAAAACTGAAAATACTTTTGAAAAATGTTCAAATTAATTTCCACTTTAAAGAATACTATAGTTGACCCAATTAGCTCTGCAAACCAATTCAAATTCAGTTGTTTGACATTCTTTAGCATTTCACAGTACACTATTTTCACCGGTCCAGCACCTTAGATCCCCAAAGATCCCAGGGCACATTTAGTGATATTTACCTTATGAAGTAACTAAATCCAGATGAGCATAGCGCTCACATCACTGTAAAAAAGAAATTGTTTCCTCATGCTTACAGCTCCCATTGGGGAACTAGAAACTGAAAACTCTGAAAATTATCTTTGTGCAACCAGGAAATTGTGGACAGAAATGGGAAATAGTTTTATTTGTAAATAAGCCCAACCATGGAAACCATATACTACCTTGTTCTGCAAAAGTCCTCTAGCCTTTTATAAATCAGGTTTTTCACACTGACAGATTAACAACCAGGGCAAGTAATTCATGCATGTGGCGTTGGAAATGGAATCCTCCACATGTCCTTGTGGATTCCTGTCCACACAGAGGTACAACTATGTTGAGTAGTACTTTGTGGATTATAAGCAAATAAATAAATAAAAATTAAAATGCCACCCAAAGAAGTCTAAATAATGCAGGGAAATTTTTGAGGCACAGCCAACTGGAAAATTCACTGTAGTGAATAGCTAAACTTCCAAAAAAATACATTTGTGTTGGTTTTTTGTTGTGTGTGTGTGTGTGTGTGTGTGTGTGTGTGTAAAGAACTCCCTGCTCCATAACTGTATTTGAATCAGTTTGATTTGTGTTTGTCAAAAGTATCTTCTAGTCCCTGAGAAACACCTGAATTGCATTTTCTTTAGATTTTGCTTTTGGCTTTTTGTTTTTGTTTTGTGTTTAAGGTAAGCTGGCCCCTTGGAACTAGTACAGTTTTTTTTTTTTTCCTGTTAAGGACATTTTGAAAAATAGGAAAAAGTGTCTTCCTTCTTGTTATCAGAGATACATGACTGTATACACAATTTTTTCTAAAAACGTGGTTAATAACAGCCAACAAACAAGAAGAGTAAATGGAGCACCTGGCTTCCTAAACGGATTAAACCTGCCCCACAATATCCTCGTGAGATAATGGGTAATATTCTCTTTGGAGACATTATGCACTTTGACTTATTTTTGAAGAATAGAATTTTCCTGTCCCCCAAAGTGGATAGATTTCCAATTCAAGGCAGCAAGCCTTGGGTCGCCTACTTTAGGTATACCCAACCCTCTCAGCCACCTACACCCGACTTTACATTAGATGGGGGATACCAGCCATCCTCGAATGCCCTTACGCGGCCTTTCAAACTAGATACAAAGTTAATATCAGTGTCTGAGCTTCCAGCTCCTCCAGGAAAAACTGTGGCCCCCAAGTGGCACTGCTCCATAAAAGCCTAGTCAGGCCTTGTCCTCTCCAGCAGTCCCGAGCAGGATTGATCACGTCCGGATAAAAGTACGGAAAGGAAAGGGTTAATCAGCATCCTCCTCTCTCCCTCCTCCCCAAAGCTGGGCGGGGGGGGGGGGGGTGCCGCGCCGGGAGCATCTCAGCGGGGGAGCAACTGGAAACCACAAACACCCAAACTGGGTAGCAGCAACTTGAACTAAACCCGAGACCTGGCTTAGGGAAAGGAGTCAGTTAAGTTTAGACCCAATGGTTTAATCAAGGTATCAGAACAGACCCATTAAAGACAGAAAAGGTAGCACATCCCTGCCCTCAACTCGCAAGGATTTCTTTTATGTTGCAGTTGAAGCCTCAAAACACATTTTATGATCCTAATGCCCTTTATTCAGAAAGATCTCAAGAGGTGTCTACAGAAATGTCCGGCAGGAGTGCAGAAAGAGCAGGTGGGAGTGTAGAAAGCCCCCCTTCCCGGCCGTCTTTACTTGGCCCGCGCTTCCAGGTAACCTTTGTTGCGTGGTTGGGGGACGCAAAGCAACTATCTTGGCCCCTGACGGTGCAGTATCCAAACCCACGACAGGCGAGAGGCTGCAGGACCAACTCGCTAGCCCCAGCCCCCTACCCACCTACACCGCGCCCAGCTCCAACCGCCCACACGCCCCTCCGCAGCCTCTTCCCCACTGCCCACCCCGGGGGCTGCCCCTGATCTCCCCCAGAAACACACAGGCGCTCTAACCACCAGCAAATTTCTAACAGCCCCAGCCTTCCAGGAAAGAAAGAAAGGAAAAAAAAAAAAAAAGACCATGACATCACGGGCAGGTTTATTTGGGTTTGTTTGTTTGCTTGTTGGCTCGATTAAATACTCGTGGAAGGTGAACGTACCCCACACAGGAGAAGTTTGATGTTGACAAACTTCTGGTGGCAGCGAGACTGTGTCAGCACAACTTCCGGGATAATGAGAGCTGCTTTGCAGGGAGCGCGGCAGCGGCGGCGGGAGGCGGCCGCAGGACGGAACAGCAAATGCTATTCAGCCCGAGCAGTTTCAAGCCGCCCGAGCTGGGGAATTACTGTAGTCGAGCTACGGCTCTTACCACCGGCGCTGGATCTGGGCGCACGTTAGGGGGGGAAGCTGCAGGCACAGGGCGCCGAGAGGGGAGCTTTCAAGTTACTTTGCTCCATCCCTGCACCCGGCAGAGGCTTTCAGGCTGCGTGGTAACTGCAAACATCTTGTTCCCTGCTTCTTTGGGCGGCCTCCCTGGAACCAACCAACTTTTCTCTCCTCAAAAACTCCCTCTTTGTTTCAAATAGGACTCTCCAAAATTTATTCTTGGGAAGACTGACAGCCGGGGTCAAGAAACAGCTGTTGAAGTTAATGTTTCTTCCTCCCACTTCGTCTGATGGTTGTGCCCTGCCAAGACAAAGTGAGAGGCACTGCCTGGTGGCTCTTTAAACAGACATGCATTTAGCCAAAAAAAAGGGGGGGGGGGAGTGTGTGTGTGTTGAGGGGGTATATTTTCCTGCTTAACATACAATCTGATCAGAAATGCGACAGCATGTGCTTTTCAACTTGTGCTGATTACTTGCTGAAAAGATGTTGCAGAAAAGAAGTGTTCAAAACACTTTGAGCAGTGGGGGCAGGGATGGCGGGAGATGTGGTTGACACTTTCCATGCTTTGGTAAAGGGGTAAAATTTTAATTTTAATTCCTCTCACCCACCTCTTACCCTCTAAGAATGGTAGAATGGCCTGGGGGAGGGAGAAAGAGTGGCATTCCTTTGCAAGGTTTAATTCACATTTCAGAATTCAAGTCATTATGCAGAACAAGGGCTTGCCTGGAGCTAGGCAGATTGTTTTTATTTGGAGACCTAGGCCAAACCTGGCCCGGTGCTACCAGCTCTTGGTGGCGCTTGGTGGCTTTCTCCAGATTAGGCCTGTCTCCTCTTCCCTTTCCCAGCACTACTCCTTTTGCCTTTGCTCAGGGGATATACTCTGAGGGAAGCTACCCTCTTCTTTCTGCTGCCCTCTCTGTGAAGATTGGTTAGCACAGCCCTTTCCCTGCTTGCTCTGCTTTGTGTAGAATGCCCCATGGACTGCTGAGGGACTTCTTGGGGTTGTCCTCCGGAGTCTCAATCCCCTAACTGAGCCCTCCCCAGGTGTCCAGCCTTTGCAGTGGGAGTGGGTGGATGGGAACTCTTCCTTCCACATCAGAAAGCTTAAGCACTCGGGGCACCTGGGTGGCTCAGTTGGTTAAGCGACTGCCTTCGGCTCAGGTCATGATCCCAAGGGTCCTGGGATCGAGCCCCGCATCAGGCTCCCTGCTTGGCGGGAAGCCTGCTTCTCCCTCTCCACTCCCCCCGCTTGTGTTCCCTCTCTCTGTCTCTCTCTCTCTGTCAATTAAATAAATAAAATCTTTAAAAAAAAAAAAAAAGAAAGAAAGAAAGCTTAAGCACTCTTCCAGCATACCCATTCTCCTTTGGGAATGCTCCAATCACTTGGCCTCTCTCAGACACAATCATATGAAAACATAAAAGGCCCTCCTTCCTCACCACCAGGTTATCCTGTCACCACATCGCAATGCAGTGCTATCACAAAGTGATATTGCATCAGGCCCAGGGATATTTTAGGAAGCTCTCGAGCTAAGTCCAACAAGCCTTTCGTGCAGGCATCAGGGCCACCCTGCCAAAATCAGAGCTGCAGAGCTGCAGGACAGGTGGTAGTGATGCCTTCTCTATTCTCAGCTCCATTACCCACTTACCCCCCCATTCTCCCAACCAATCAGATCCTCACCCCTCTCTTTGCCTTGCTCCCAGATGCCACCACCTTTGTGTTCCCTCATAGCTCTCCGCAAAGTGTTCAGGTCCACCTTGTGATGTATTTCCGTTTTTTCTGCCTGTCGTGGTCATTCTCTGAGATCTTAATTAGCATTTGTTCTTATTAACTATAAATGGACTGAATTACACACGGAGTTGCACGGAGTTGCACGGGCTGCTCCACAGATAGCCTCTGGCTTGGGTGTCTGCTGGCCTCCTTGGCTTGTTTGACCTGGGTCAACTTTTCTCATTCTCTCAGACTCCAGGTTGCCCAGCTGGGCTGGCACAATGGTAGCCTCCCAGAGTCAGTGCAGCACCCTCCCCAAGTGCCCCCTTCTCGGAGTCCTGCTCATGCAATCCAGCAGCCAACTGACTGAAATTCCTTCTGCTTTATTGTTCTCTGTCCTTAGGCCAACTTTCAGCATAGAGTGTGGCTGGGAGGCTAGACCTCCGCAGATCCTGAAGTGGTAATTCCCCACTGCTGGCTCCTGCAGTTTTATAACTCCTTTTTTTCTGAGACTGACAGACATAAACCTCCAGTGTAGAGGCCTGTAACAGCACCCTAAAAGACTTCTTTGTGTGGAAATGTAACCTTAGGGCAAAGTCAGCCTCACTCCAGGAAAGGCACATTCTCCTGCTACAAGGAAGCACTGGGCTGGGAAAAGGCCAGGATTTCTCCCGAGATGGCTACCGAGAGCCTTTCAGAGACATTTTTATTTACTATTGTTTAGTTTGGGGGTGGGTGGGTTGGGGCATTGGAAATACTGCAAGTGGAGACCTGTAGTGGCTGTCCAGGGCACTCTACATGCAATCAGAGGAATCAGATGTCTTTCCTTTACGGGTGGGTCTCTAAATGCAATCACTCCGAAGCACCCACACACTCTCCGGGTCAGGATGTCCCCTGGTGGGATGGCAGTTAGCATCGTTCGCTACTTTTGGAGCTAATGCTACCTTGCCTAAATGGAATGCCTTTGGATCACTTAGAGAATCTGATCTATTTATGTAGGTGTTGGGTTAGACAAATTACTCCAAAAAGCAAGGGTGAAAAGATACAGAATCTTAATTTATCATGCAGGATTAAAGTCAGATTTAAATCAGGTAGAATTATTAAGGGATTTAGGGCCCAAGTCATTTTCCAAAGAGGAAAAAGGACTAAAGCATCCTCTTTGTTGAAATAACGTCAAGAAAGTAGCATCTTATGTTTGGAGGTTTGGTTGTTGTTTTTTAATCCACCTTTTAAATGTTTACTTATATTTTCAATCAGTCAAACAGAACAGTACTAGGAAATTCAGTTATCAAATGTATATGATTAGGCATTAACTATTCCATATAGACAAAAAATTCCACAAAAAAGGTGAGATGAAAGTGTGCTCTTGTCATCACAGAGAGCTCCCTGTAGGAACTGAGCCAGTGCCTCGATTAAGGGATAGGTAAGATATAGCTAGTTAGAGAAGATGAATCTGGAATCAGGGAGAGGTTAGAAGAAAACCAGTATAGTTCCTATGGAATTTAGTTGAGATGTTCAGTTCTGTAGCCCCAGGAACTGGAGTTACTAGGATAGAGAGTTTAACACAATGCTTTTAGTCAATGTTTTTGAAAAATGTATTCTCATAAAGTCAAGAACATGGACAGTGACGGAAATATTCACAAGGAGATGTTCTTAGTGTCTGAGATTACAGAATGTGGACAGAAATAAAAATACACAATGCAATTATTTTCCCTTTTCCCTTTTCCTCCTAAATCTAGACAGAAGTTTAATTCAGGATTAAAAGGCTCATGGATCTCCTCTAGCTTCTCCTTCAGTTATCCCATCCATACTCCAGTTCTGGTTTTAGACAGAGCTACAATAGTCCTTTGTAGGGAATTGCATGAACTCCTGTGCTGGTTTTCTAATGTGGGAAAATGTCTACTAGGGAGGCTAAGACCACCAAACTAGTTTCATTATGACCCAAGGTACACTTAAACCCAGCCCTTCAGTGGTGGGCAACTGGCCCAGCACAGTCTTCCTCTATAGTGCTCATTAAGATGTTATTTACATTTTACAGTATGGTCCCAAGCCATAAGTTGGGATTTTATCTTCACAAATAGAAAAAGAATACTCTTGTGATATCTGGTCTTGCAAAGTTTTAACTTCTACTATGGACCTGCTGGTGATTTGCAAAACAAAGTCATAGCATTTTAAAAAGAATCTTCCATTTCAGTTCAAAATTGTTGGCTGGGAAGTGAAGAATAAAAGAAAAACCCATGATCACAAAATTAAACTTATTAGCCAAATAGATTTTAACATTTGCCTCCTCTTAAATGTGAATTTAATGTTTGCCAAAAGCACACAATCAACAACTCTGAAGAAAATAAATTTTATATTTTAGTCTTGAACCTACTGCACAGGTGGTGAGCTCATCTTCATAACTAACCTCCATCTTCTTGCCTTGGAACTCTCATTCATGTGACCAGAATTATTCCAGATCAAAAACAACATCATTGGGGCACCTGGGTGACTCAGTGGATTTAGTGTCTGCCCTTGGCTCAGGGCATGATCCTGGGGTCCTGGGATCAAGCTCTGCATCTCTGCATTGGGCTCCTGCTCTGTGGGGAGTCTGCTTCTCGCACTCCCTCTGCCTGCCTCTCCCCCTGCTTGTACTCTCTCTGTCTCAAATAAATAAACAAAATCTTTAAAAAAAATCATTAATCCCACTTTTAGATGAACCAAACTCTCTGGATTCTTACCTCAACAGGCCAAATTAGATTAACATTTTAATGATGTCTTTCTGGCATTGTTCATGCTTCATAAAGAGTAACTCACTTCATTTGACTCAAGGTAACAAGGCTAAACAAGTGATTCAAAAAAATGAATCTTTTCCAGGTTTGGAAATTAAGTTTCCTTGAGTCTGAGACAACAAAGATTCTTCAGAATCTATAAGTCCAACTATATAATGCTACCACCTTTCCAAGACAACCATTAAGAATTACACCTAGATAAATAAAAATTAAAAAAAAAGAAAAGAATTACATCTAGAACCAGTTATGAGAATAATGTTTTGCAACATTCTCATGAAGGCCAAATGAAAATCAGAGGCCATCTCTAAAATGGCATTAGGCCAAACATCAGACCTCTGAAGATGCTTGACATCTTGCCATGTGTCATCACAATCAAATCCTGGATAGGGTATTCTCATCTGAGTTTCACTGACTACCAGTAAGGGGCATGTGCAGAATAATAAGTGATTCAACTTTAGTCTCCAGTTAGAACCTAACATGCCTTATAACATTCCAGGAAAATGGGTGTTGGGAATGTATATCAAAGATGGCATAAGCTCTTCATTCTCAACAGCTTGGTGATAACCAGTTGGGGAGCCACCTTAATTCTGTGGTTTATAAAATTCTAGGATTATTGTGATTACTATATGGAATTCTCAGCTGAAAACAATGAGCCCTTTCTCAGTTGCATGGTGAACAATGAGGTCAACTACAGAGGATTTTTTAAAAGCAAAATTTAGAGGAAAGAAACCACTTCACTGACCCAAGAGAGCTTTTGTTGACTAACAGCAATCTCAGACCTTGACAGTTACACAGTACCTTTAGGTTCCAAAGGTACTTACCCCCAAAAAGATCATAATGTAACATTTTCTTTTTTTCCTAATCAAAAGGTGAAACCAGAAGGTGTCTTCCCATCTCTGTTTAAAGAAGTCATGTACCAATCTGCAGAGAAATGCCTGTATACACGGAGAGTCTTCAAATTTATATCAAGAGGCTTCCAATGTCATGCATCTAATTACAATCCAAATACCTAAATATAAATATAATCATGCAATTATCTAAATATGATAATGCAAATTAATAAATGCCATCACTTTTCAGCACTGCACTGGCAGTTGACTTTTTTTTCAGGGCCATTTCTACAAAGAAGCAAAGTTATTATCTTTTCTTAGGATTTATTGCAGATGTGACGATTATAGAGAACCATAAGATTTTGCTTAAGATGTGAATACCAGGTGGATGGCTGAGCCCACTCACTAATCAAGTGATTTGTTCTCAGACAATAATGTTTGGGATTCTGATGCTTGCCTCAGCAAAACTGCAGATTTTTTTTTTCCATAGACCTTTGAGGTTGTCCATAAGTCATTGCTATGTTCAATGCCAACTCCTCACATTCTCAGAGATAAAGAGGGCAAAGAAGGAGAGAAAGAATGTGTAGCTCATTATTCACAAGTTATTTTCCTATAATTTAGGATGTTGAGAGTACTTTTTAGAAAATTTTCAAGGCAGTGACTTCCAGACATTTTCTATTAAAAAGGGCTACTTTTGTGTTTCAAAAGTGGAAGATATAAGAAGCAGTTTGTTTTCACTCTGCAACAAGGGAAGGGACCTAAATAAGTTGTCTTGTATTTCATGATGACCACAGTAGTGAACTAAAACCAGTTTTTTTCTATATTCAATTCTTCTATGATACTATTTTGCGAGATCATACATATAATAAACTGCCTAAAAGATCAAATGATTTTTTTTAAATGTACACTTTTTTAAAGTTTTTAACTTTCCTGGAAAGACTCATAGATCCAAGCTAAACTCTAATGATAAGGTCACACTTTCCCTGTATTTTAAGGAGTTCTAAAGAACAAGTTGGTACAATTCAGTGGTAAATATTATGGCATACTACATTATCACTAGAGGTTATGTTATATAGCACGTATAAAGCACTTTTATTCTAGATATTGAATATGCCATACAAAGTGAGTCTGTAATTGAAGTATATCAACAGCAAATTTTTATTTTTTTTAATTTTTAAATTTTTTTTAAAGATTTTATTTATTTATTTGAGGTACAGCGACTGAGACAGAGGGCACGAGAAAGGTGAGAGGAGAAGATGCAGGCTCTTTACTGAGCAGGGAGCCTGCCATGGGGCCTGATCCCAGGACCCTGAGATCATGACCTGAGCCAAAGGCAGATGCTTAACCCACTGAGCCACCCAGGTGCCTCAACAGCAAATTTTTAGAATTTTGTTGTAGCTAACTTCAGAATCCAAAGCACCTCTGATTATTCACTGCTTAGGCAGAAGAGAGACAGAAGAGAAAGTGCTACTCTGTTTATGGGTTTCAACTCTGCCCTAAATGGATTATTTCCAGGAGTGAAAAGGAAGACCAAGCCTACAGAAATCTTGGCAACTGCTTTTCCAGGAAGACTACAGAGATTTCATGGGTCTTACTGTTGTTTACAAGGAGGTATTACCTTTCTCCAAATTCCATTCACACAGCTGGTTTTCTCTTTTCTCCTGGAGGTAAACTTCCCAGTTAATATACACATTGATCAGTGCCATGCTGAACATCTCTTCCTTCCACGTGTAGCAGGTGACAATTAGCCCATAATCTGCAATGAGATAGGAGGGGATCATAAAAATTAAGAGCAGGCTCTAGAGTCACAAATGCTGAATTCAAATTCTGATTCTGTCCTTAGCAGCAGTGTAGCCTTGAGTCAGTGTCAGGTTCCTCATTCACTAAAACGGGGCAGAAGAGAAAAAAATACAAACCCCACTGTTCACCATCTCATTTCATCAGTATCCCCATCAAAAGCCCCCTGAAGCCCTCACAAGATCTGAATGGAACTCTAACTGGTCTTTGGACAAATTTATGACTTTATATTCCTATGTAGAGTGAAGAGCTGTTTTCTTTCTCAAGATTAATATCTATGCTCAATTATGACCTTCATCTAATGTTTGGACCCACTGAATTCTAAGCAGGAGCAAAGACTCTGAAAATTTAGCTAGTCAATTTCTCCACCCTGGCACAATTGTACTATCTTGCTTAGACCTTAGTCACTGATGACCAGGTGCTGTTGCCTACTTCATTCACTGAGGAGCTTCTTACCTTCTCAACTAAACTGTTAACTTATTGAGGAAAGGCTCCCGTAGTCTTATAGATCCTTATATTCCTCTGAGCACTAAGTATAGCACAGTATCATGAAAATAACAGATTCTCAGTAAATGTCTGTGACTTGATTATTTTAAGAATGAGCTCTGGGGTGTTTATAACAAAACAGGTTCATATTAAAGAATCCCATTATGTCCCTTCAAAATGGGCCTGTGAAAGCTCTTTCTGAGAGTACTCTGTTTGGACACACTAATGTAGCAACAGTCCATTTTCCTTTTTCTTTTTCCTTTTTAAACCTCTGGCCATTTCACAGCTGTATTAGTTAAAAGATATTTTTAATTGGCTTTCATCATCTTTGAAAGTGTAATAAATACTCATTAAAAACAAGGCTACCAAGATGAGCTTTCCCCCTCCCCCACACACCTATTAGAAATGACTGCGAATAGTTAGAGTATACTTTTCCAAGTTGTTTTATTAATTTATATTTTTGATGCATACACTAACATTTATTATTATTTCCTGGACACATTGCTATGCTATTGATATCTTTTAGAACTTGTTTTTCTTCATTTAACAATGCATTGTGAAATGTTTATCCATGTCAACATACACCTCATTCCTTTTTAGTGCTGCATTATATAGAAATTTCTTGTTTTCCAGCTATTCATTATCATTATCTGAATTACAGTAGTTGCTAAGTTGTGTAGAAAAGCAAAAATTGGTCATAACAAAAAAAAACCACTAATAAACTGGCCACTTACTAAATTAGTCCCCACTTAAATAGCCCTCCCGACTTATTACGAGCATCTCTCCCCACTTAGTCAGTCAATTTTGCTGATGGTAGATGTTATAAACATCTGACAATACAATGTAAATAAAATGCATTTCAGTGGCCATGTAAGATTGCTAATCTTGCAAAAGATGCAGAATTTTATGAAGTCATTGAAAGTGATTCTGGAGAACTGTTCCATAGGCAAATGAGTATCTGGCAGTGTTAGACCAGTTAACAATTAAAGATGAGAAAAACAACAAGGATGATAAGAGGATAAATTCTTCAAAAGGAGAATTATTTGAATATCAAAGGATTAAGAGAAGCTCTCAGGAAAAGTGATGAAGCCTTCACATCTTTTTTCAAAATGACCTTTGTATGATTCTGCTATAAAAGTCAGCTTGAAGTGAAGGGTGTCAAAATTTGCTATCATATAATTTTGCTGGGAAAATTATCCCCCTCACCAAATCAACACTTGATTCATTCTTTGTTTATTCTAAAAATTAGAGCATTGTTGCAATTAGAGTTGTTACATGTGTGTCTTCAAAGATAAATCACATTTAAAGATAAGATAATCTTTTATTTTTTCAAAACAAAGTCTCAATCAAACCTTTTTTTAAAATTCTTTATTATACAACGGTAGACCCTATTTATTACTTTTGCAGCTTTCAACAGTCATATTATGGCAAACAGAAGCAACAGACGCTGAAAATAAGGCTTCTAATAAACTAATCAGATTCCCTAGTTCTCTCTCCGTGAGGCGTTTAGAAGCAGGACTGGCCACTTTGCAAGGAGTAAAGCCCCAGGGTGGTTGGGTAATTCAGGGGAGGGAAGAGGCCTTAAGAAAGGAGACAGGCAGTGGACTTCCTCTGGCACTAATCGGGCACATAGATGTTTGGGCCTAATGAAATTTGAAAAAAATAAAAACGATGTAACCTTATTTGTGTCCAAGCTGGTAAAGCAAGTTATACCAGTTAAATGTGGGTATATCAGGATTTATTTTTAGCAGTTACCTACTGACTGATATTTGGGTTGTTTCCAATTTTTTTGCTACTATAAGCCATGCAGCAATGAACAACAGTGTACAGTTATATCTTGGTACACTTGTACAAGCATCTTTGTAAAAAAAAAAATTCCTAACTCCTGGGGCTGGAAAAAGGTATATTAAAAATGTTAACAAGCACTAAGTAACAAATCCTCCATTTAATGCCACCTACAGTATCTGAGAATGCCAGTTTTTCCACACCCTTCACGAGACTATTATCAGTTTTTGCCAATCTGATTGCTATATAGATTGTTGTTTTCATTGTCAATAATATAAATTCTTAATGTGCAAGAAATATATTGTTCACTGACTGCTTAGAATCTTTAGGAAGAGCCTCATTATAGACTCTGGAAAATCTGCATGATAGATGCAGGGGGAGATCGTCTTATCCCTGGTAATGGGTAGGAGCTAAAAAATTGAGCTCAACATGCATTTTTCTGTTTAAAAATCCCTCTCTGAAACAATTGTAGTCATTGCTTACGCAAGCTAAAGTGTTTATAGTCAGTAGTGGAAGACGTAGATAATGGTTTTTGCAAATTCCTGATTTCAGGACTGTGACTTTTTTTTTAAGATTTTATTTATTTATTTTGAGAGAGAGAGATACAGTGAGTATGAGTGGGGGGAGGGGCAGAGGCAGAGAGGAGAGAATCTCAAGCAGACTCCATGCTGAGCATGGATCCAGACACAGGGCTCGATCATGAGACAACCTGAGCCGAAATCAAGAGTTGGACACTCAACTGACTGAGCCACCCAAGTGCCCCAGGACTGAGATTTTTTTTACAGATTTCAAAATATGAGACTTGATAAGGTCAGTAGATCCTGAAAATGGATGCTTGGTGTCATCCAAGCCCACACTCTTTCCATCAGGATTTTGGTCACAGAAAATGTCAGCATTCTAAATGAAAAATTCTTACATATATTCAGGACCTAAAAAAGAAACAACAAATATCCACTAGAGTATGCATTTGTCACAACCCATCAAATTGTAGATTAAGATGTGTGCATTTCACTGTGTGTAAATTTTACATAAAAAACCCATAAAGTCCTCAAAAAATTAAATATAGAATTACCATATGATCTAGCAATTCCACTTCTGGGAATATACCCAAAAGAATGAAAGCAGGGACTTGAACAGACATTTGTACACCCACGTTCATAATAACAGCATTATTTCACAATAGGCAAAAGATGGAAGCAACTCAGGTGTCCATCAATGGATAATGAATAAACAACATTTACTATGTACATACAATGGAATATTATTTAGCCTGAAAAAGGAAGGCAATTTTGACATATGCTGCAATGTGGATGAACCTTGAAGACATTATGCTAAATGAAATAAAAACATAAAAGAACAAGTATTGTATGATTTATATGGGTACCTTGAGTATTCAAATTCAGAATGGTGGTTGCCAGGGGCAGGGGGGAGAGGAAGGGCATGAGGGGGTTACTGTTTAATGGGTACAGAGTTTCAGTTAGGGAAAATGGCAAGTTCTGGAGATGGACAGTGGTGATGTTTGCACAAGTATGTGAATGTACTTAATGCCACAGAATGGTATACTTACAAATGATTCAAATGGTAAATTTTATGTTGTACATATTGTACCACACTAAAACAATTTTTTTAAATCCATAAGCAAATATTGAATTCTAAAGATTTTATATGTTTACTTGACACAGAGAGAGAGACAGCTAGAGAGGGAACACAAGCAGGGGGATTGGGAGAGGGAGAAGCAGGCTCCTGGCTAAGCAGGGAGCCCAATGCCAGGCTTGATCCCAGGACCCTGGGATCACGACCCGAGCCAAAGGTAAGCACTTAATGACTAAGCCACCCAGGTGTCCCAGCAAATACTGAATTCTAATGCTGAAGTGTTTGGGAGGTGAAATGCACTAATGTCTGCAACTTTTTTTGAAATGTATCAAAAAATGAATGTGAAGGGATAGGTTGAGAGAGGAATGAATGTATATGTGTTAAAGTAAATATAGCAAAAAGGGGCACCTGGGTGGCTCAGTCGTTAAGCGTCTGCCTTCGAGCTCAGGTCATGATCCCAGAGTCCTGGGATCAAGCCCCTCATCGAGCCCCGCATCAGGCTCCCTGCTCTGCAGGAAGATAGCTTCTCCCTCTCCCACTCCCCCTGCTTGTGTTCCCTCTCTCTCTGTCAAATAAATAAATAAAAATCTTTAAAAAAATTTAAAAAGGTAAATATAGCAAATGTAAATTGCATAATCTGGATGATAAAGGTGTAGGTATTCTCTGTGTCATTCTTTCAACTTTTCCATGTGTTTGAAAGTTTTCTGGGGTATCTGGCTGGCTCAGTCAGTAGAGCATGTGACTCTTACTCTCAGGGGTTGTAGGTGTGAGCCCCACACTGGGTGTAGAGATTACTTAAAAGTAAAATCTTAAAAAAAAAGAAAATTTTCTTAATAAAATGTTAGGGGAAAATGACCTAGATTAAGACAAATTATTAGCAAATGAAAGAATCTTTTTTTTTTTTTTACCACAAATTCATCTTTAGCTTTTGCTAATTATGGGGAATAATTTTGCCATGGAGAGATTTTTCAAGCAGAGTGAGGGATATAGGACTGATTTTTTTGTTTGTTTTTAATAACAACCAGGCAGGAACATTTCTTTCACAAGTATTGGACAGGTATTGATTTACAAGTGACTCCATCATATTAAAAATGAACTCAATATCACCAAAGTTGATAAGTATCTCTCTGTATATATCATAGGCAAGGGTCATGGTTCAGATTTGTTCTTCCATTGGTAGGATTTGAGCATGTGTTGAGGAAAAGAATCCCAGCCTACTCAGTCAAATGGAAAAATGACACAAATAGATTGACTATGATGACATGCAACTTTAGAGCATTTAAGAGACTGGAGGTCCTCCTAATAAATATTAGTTCATTGTAGAGTATAGTAGATTATAAATAGCAGCTCTTCATTTCCTTGTAGAAACATTTCAGAGAGCTCTACATTTTTTCCCCTTCATTTCATTAAAAGGTAACAGAGAGAGATGGCCTTCATTTCTGGGACCTCTACATTGCAGGCATGCTTAGGCAGTTTTTAAAACTGTAGAAGCACATGAGCATCCTGTCCCAATCACACTCTCATGCATTGGAATAAACATCCAGAGTTTCAGAGGTGCAAACTCAATGCATATAGGGGCAAGGAAGTAACCTTAATAAGTAACACAGGCCAGTCCAAGTAGGAATTGTGGCCTCTTGGAAAACCCTTAACCTGACTAAAAGAGGAATCCATGACTCAGTCCAAACCAACTGGCCCAAGATAGCCATATACATCAATTTTCTAAAAGCAGTCTGAAAGCTGTATATTTATATAAAATCTTCCAAGTTTAAATGTGGGCAACAAATTCAAATGTTTCTCAAAAACACTGTATGGGTTAAACGAAATACCTCTGTTAATATTCTGGGGTCTGTAGGCTCCCCATGTGTAACCTCTAATGTATGTGTACAGGATGGGATGGTCCAAATTTCTTTGGTGCTAATGTCCAGTAGAATTCAGATTTAGCACTGTTTCAACCTTTTGGGATTATATGTTCATCTCCACTGTCCCCAGTTTCTCCATTGTAAATGTGAAATATGTTCAGGTCTTTATCACTTTAAATAAAAAACAAATATTTGACCACTGCAGTGTTTGTAATATTCATGCAGTAAATGTGTTTTAAAAGTCTGTTTTGTATCATGAACTTCTGCAAAGAAAAGGTAAATCAACAAAAATGTGTAATTCATGGAGCCCTCAATTTATTTACCTGTAATGATCCCAAAATACAGATGTTTGGAACTAGGAACATAGTTTTCCATAAGATGACATTTAATGAGTACTGCCTCTGATCACTCACTGTGTGAAGTCCTATTTAATTCTCCTATCATCATCTTGACTTTACAGATGAGGAAAACAGGCTCAGAACAGTTGCATGACTTGCCACGCTGGTAAGTGTTGGAGTTGGGAATCAAACACATGTGAGGGTCAGGATCCAAGCCCTGTTGTTCTCTTTCTTCATCACTACAGTGCCTGCAATACAGTGTTCTGCCTGGTGTTAAGGCTGTCAGGACAGACTACGAAATACTGTTGTATCCATAATGTACTTGTAGAACTATATTCCTAATAATACTCTACTTCAACAGAACCCAGACTCGGGTACAACTATGCTGCTTTTTTTACTCCCCTTGCTTTTATGTGGGAAAAATATGTTTAATTACCCAGGTGATACATAGATACACTCTCGTTGTGAAATATCCAAACAACACAGCAGTCTACAGGGCAGGAGAGAAAATTCCCCTGGGCTTCCTCCCCCACTCCTGATCCCACTCCCTCTCCTATTTCTGGCTCTACCACTATCAACAGTATGGCTTGTTCCTTCCAGACTTTTCCTATGCATTTACATACATATATGTACATACATAAATATGCATGGAGCTATGTTTCTATGGCAAATACATTCAGAATTCCACCTTGGGATGTCAGAACACTTTTCTGTTGCAGTCCTGGCAACTTCCCCAGCTCCAAGTCAATGTGGGAGTGTGGGGATGAAGGCGGCTTTATTAGTTATCTGTTGCTACATGACAAACTACCCCACAATTTATCAGCATACAACAACAAACATTTATTAGCTCACATGGTTTCTGAGGGTCAGGAATCTGGGAGCAGCTTGGCAGGATGGCTCCAGGTCAGGATCTCTTATGAGGTGGCATTCAAGATGTCAGCTGGGGCTGTAGTCATTTTGAGGATTCATTGGTGCTGGAAGATTCACTCCCAATTTGGCTCACTCAGTGGTTATTTGCTGGAAGGCCTCAGTTCTTCAGTGGCTGTTGGCAGGAATCCACATTTCCTTGCCATGAGATAGATTCTCTCCATAGGGCTCTTTGAGTGTTCTTATGGTATAGTAGCTAGTTTCCCCCAGAGTGAGCAGTCCACATTCACAAGGGAGGACAAGGAGGAAGCTGCAATGGCTTTTATGACCTAGTCTTGGAAGTCACAGACCATCACTTCCACCAGATTCCATTCATTAGAAGCAAGTCACCTCATCCGGCCCACATTCAAGGGGAGGGGAGTTAGGCTTCACCTTTTGAAGAGAGGAGTGTCAAAGAACTGGTGGACATATTTTAACCCCACTGCAAGAGCCATGTTGTGAGGGAGGAAAAATGGAGCAGGGCAGAGTCTATGATCAGGGCAGAATAGTCTGAGTAACAGGGAGGAGGGGAGAGGTGCAGAGATAATGCGGTAACAGGATAGTGAGAGGTAGAATGGCTGGGCTGGCAATCCTGGCTGCACATTAGAATCACCTGGGGAAATTTAAAAAATACTCCTGCCCCAGGCCCCACTACAGATCAATTAAATCAGTATTTCTGGGATGGAGGCCCAGGTATTAATATTGTTTAACAGCTCTCCAAGTGATTCTAATGTGCAGCCCGAGTTGTGAACCATGTAAGAGCAGAGGTGCTGGAGTCCAGCGGTGCCTGGGCTCAAGTCCCAACTATGTCAATTAAGTAGCTGTGTGATCTTAGACAAGTTAACTAGCTTTTCTGTGCCTCATCTGTAAAATGGGGATATTAATAGTCCTTCCTTGTAGGGTGGTTGGGAGAATCACCTGAGTTAACAACCCATGGCAATAGCTTTGAACAGTTCTCTGCACAGTAAGTGCTGTATAAATGTTACTTTTGTGATGATTAGCAGCATGTGCTGGATTTTTCCTCCCTCCTGCTCTCCCTCCCCAAGTGCCTAAGCTGGGAGAGGAGTGTGGCTTCCTGTGCCCCACCCCCCTCTTTTTCCCTGGAGAAGGGTACAGAACTCTTCAGCACCTTTCTCGGGTTCAGCAAGCCCTGCCAGCCTTAAGGCAGGTAAACTGAGAAGCTAAGCTGTTGCCACTGCAATGGTTAGCATAGCATCCTGCATCTTTAGAGAGGGGGAGACAGAGTAGCTCCTTGGGGTAGTGAGAGGAAGGGAGATCCCCTTTGGCCTCACAGAGAATTGAGATACAACCTATTCTATATCACAGCAGGAGGATCTGCACACATGCCTTGCAATTCCTTCAAGAAGCCTTTCCTGATCTCAAATTTCTCTGAGCTCCTATACTATCAACATGGTCCCTAAATTACCTGCTGCCTTTTATATTTATTTATTTGCCTTCTGTGTTTTCTCTCCTTCAGACAGTAGGTTCTTTTAGAGGCAAGGACTACGTCTTCTTGGAGAAGTATCAAAAAGCAGGAAGGAGAAAATGAGGGAAAATGGGATATCTTCTTTGGATTATAGATACCTCCTTAATGGTTAAAAGTTTATATATGTGTAGTGGGAAATGACTCTGCTTCTTTAACCCCCTCCTCATCTCCCCCCATACTACTATATCCCTAAAACACCCCTAACCCTAAGTACCATTTTCATGGGGAAAAATAGCATGAGTGTTCTTTCTCCTGCTTTTACAGCAGGTTAATAAATTGCCACTATTACAGGGTATTCCAGCTTATATTGATGAGGCAGGTACAGAAATAAGCTAATGGGTAGTTCCTATAAAGAGATGTGTTTCCCATGCATAGAAGTGCTACTCTGTAGGAGAGGAGATTTAGCTTTTTCAAGCCTACTAGGATAGATGCGGGGGGCGGGGGGATAAGGAATAACACAATAAAGTAATTAAACTATAAAACAATTGCTGACAAAATTTCTACAAAATTTTCTCCCTGTTCTCCAACATTAAAAATAATCATGATTTGAATAGACTGCATCTGTGTTCTCTTTTTTTTACCTCTCTTTTCTGTAAATTTATGATTTGGATCCCAAAAGTTGAAGATCTTTTTAATAAAAGCCCCTTCTGTTTCTTAAGTTAGAAGACGTGGTATTAAGAGTTAAAACTATGACAATAAACGGCCTAATTTCAATAGCACTTGGGCTTAGTTTTTAGAAATGAACATGGTGGCTAAAAATTCTGGGTAGGTGGGGCCTGATCTCATGTATATATCAGTGGTGTCAAAACATGAAGCTATCTTGTTAGCAAGTATCTAGATGCCAGAAAGGGGTCATTCTAGATTATGATTTCTCCTGGCTGAGTTCATTCATTTCTGCCAAAGAAGGGAATCCTGAATTTTAAGCCTTATAAGCTAGAAATAAAATTAGCTTTAAACCTAAAAATTATTCTAGAGAAATACTGCCTTGTTGGTTGAGGCTATTATAACTGTTACATACATAAATAGCTTATTTTATTGGTCTGATTAAATGATCCCCATGCGTCCTTCTGAAACTTTCTGCAATCATTCCTCATTGACTGCCATCTCAGCCAGAAGAAAAGAAAAAGTGATGAACTCTAGGCTTCTTCATCAATGAGCTCAGCCAATAAGCCAATAGAGGGTTCAGTAGGAACCACTGACCTTCCCAGGAAAGCTACTAGCATGAAAACTGAAGAAACATGGCACAGAAACACAGCAGTAAAATTCAAGAGACTAAAATAAACTCGGCGAGCCTGCCTGGTCGCTAAACACTGAATACATTTAAGTGCTATTTTGACAAGAGAGCATGGCGGCTTTTTAAGAATTTCATTTTTAAAACTCTAATACGATTTTGTTCTTCTAACAGCATCATCCTGGGTCTGTGTTTGCTCCCCATGAGGTCATTATTAAGTGAATTGAATTATTGTTCTGTTCAAATGACCTGTGCGTTCAACGTGTGCCGAGCTCTAGCAAGAAATGTTTTATGTATTATTGGGAGATGGCCATCTGGGGCACAAGCCGGGCCTCCTAACATGCAGAAATGTGGGGAGACAGTTTATGTTCAGTCTTATCTATGATCAGAATTCCATTTATAAGCTTTTTTTCATCTACTTGTCAACACTGTTCACTATAGCAACACTGAAAATGGCCAGAAATGAACAGATTTATCAGAACAATGTGAGGTCAGACTGTATGTTTCAATTACTGTATATTGGATTTTTATCATACATTTTACATTTTCTCCATAAAAATAGTAACAATGTAATAAAAATGGAAGTAGTTTTCTTTGATCAACTTCCAGTTAGTGTAAGTTACAAAGTGAATAAGATAGATTCATGACTTTTAATAGATAAAGGGTCTCACATTATATATGTATGTTTTAAATATAACATGGTTGTCCATGCCAAGAAACATGGATTAATTTTTTTAAGTCTGAAGAATACTACTCTTCCCTTTCCTGCATATTTAATGAGACAGCATGGCAGTATGTAAAATTAAATTTTAAACTTGAAGGTTACATTTTACCACACACTCCCAACCTTTTCATATATTTTTCAAGTAAACTTTTGATAACGCTGGAGGCATGTTGGACCAAAGGAATGATTTTACAGTGCCTTATAGAAGGTCTGTGTACGATATGATTTTACACTATCTTTCATAAGGCATATATCTTACATAAGTACACCCAGAGAGTCCGTATTACAAAATGAAAAGATTTTCAGGTATCTTTTTCTGGTTGTTTTTCGATGTTGTTGCACTGATACCTCAATTGGCAATAGGAATTAATCTCATAATGAAGTATACAATCTTACAAGGGGAAGAAGACTCTTAAAAGTAAGTCCTTCTGACTTCCCTTCCTCCCTCCTTCCATCCCTCCACTCTTTCCTCCCTTTCCTCCTTCCTCTTTCTTTTTTAAAATAAAAATCTTCTTAAAAAATCTTCTAAGTTGGATAAAGTAGTATTCACTTCGGACATACAACTGTATGGTTTAAATATATCTGGATTTTAATTTTCCTTGTAAGTGGGAGATGTTTGTTAGAGAAATGACTAGTATCAGCAAACAGGTAGAGAGAGAAGCTTTGTTCACAAATGTATCCCTGGAGTCATATTACACTCACTCACCTTGAAAGTATCAGAACGAAAATGAAGATAATGATGATGATGATGATATAGCCATGATAACTAGCATTCAATGGACACTATGTGCCTGCGACCAGGCTAAGTGTTTGACAGGCATTGTCTTATTTTCTCTTCACAACAACCCTCTGAAAGCAGATAATGTCATCTTTAGATGAAACTAGGTTTCTGAAGCTAAGAAACTTACCCAAGGTCAATTATGAGGGTCCCATTCTAGGTCTGTGTGACCCGCCCCCAGGGTTCTAGAGAGACGGAAAAGTTAGAATATGTGATGACTATCCCCAGTTTCTACCAATCAAAGAGTAGAAGTCAAGCCAAGTAGAGGCCAGAGGTTTTGCTGTGGCTGTGAGCAGCCTCAACCTTCTCAGCTTAAAAGTGTCCAACCTGGTCTTGCTTTTTGTAGGACCCGAAGCCCTTGGCTCAGACTCAGATCACTTCAGCAATTCCTTGCTCTATATCTTCTCCATATCCACCTCTCTGGTGCACTTTAATATTTCTGTTGCAAATGTGTTTATTTAATATTTGCTTGATATATCATATCATGACTCTTCATTCCTACTGTTCTGGAACACACATCTCTTACAATGGACAAAATGGAACATCTGCCTCCTTCTAAATTCCCCAGCTTTTGTTATTATGGCTCAAGGCAGGGCTCTGCTGGGACTAGAGATTGTTCCTTGTCCAAAGAGGTTAGCTGGCCACCCACAAGTGGCCAGAAACAAGGCACTCGGCACAATGAGAACAGCAGTGTCATTAGCTGACCTCCTGGGATCTGAACTGGAAAACTGGGGTAGTACTGATCCATAGGAGTAAAGGCAGAATGGAACAGACACTCTAAAGAGCAGAGATGCCATGCAGCAGAGGCCAGAAGAGAGAGACCTAAAGAGTGGCTGGCCCTAAACCTGTCCCAGTTTTTTGGTGGCTTTCCACTTAGTCTCTGCATGTGTCCTTGGACTTTTTCTTAGGGAGAACTTAGTGAGGCTCTGTTCCTTGTACCTGCAAGAACCTGGCAGTCCATATAAGCATCTTATCACCAACATCCTTTGGTGGCTTC